CAGAAATGTAGAAATTATTCTTTTAAAAAAGAAAACAAAACCATTTTATTTTTAAATTGTAAACGCTCATCAGTGAAGGTTTGATGAACAGCAGGAAAAGCTCAAAGTTGCCCATAGAGCCCTCTGTGTGTGAATGGCTGTTTTAATTTGGTTTTTTTTCAATGTGTACATAATGCCAGGGGAGGGATCACCCTGGCATTGTGGCTTTTGGGGCCAATGACACCTTCTGCTGCAGAAGGACTCAGCCTCTGAGGAAGATTTGGTGCTGCACATCAGACACTCAGGTGTGTCCTGGCAAGGGAGGACTTTGACCCGAGGATGTGACCCGTGTGCTCCAGGGAGTGGATGAACCTGCCCTCCAGGCCCACCAGAGGATGATGAGTGTTGTCAGTCTGATGTATCCAGCAGCTTTACTCAGCCTCCAGAGAGAACACTGGAGTTTGGCTGCCTTCCCTTCCCAATCATGGAAACACACGGAGCAGACACAAGACAAGCTGTGTATTTATAGGGCAAAAAATTCTAAATAAACCATTGAACCTGCAGGTACTTCATGTGGAACTGCACCAGGATGGATCCAGAGCTAGACTTTGGGGTTACTAAAACTAGTTCTGTAAATGAGGCTAGAGCTGAATAATGATTTCATGACACTAAAGTTAAAATGGCTGGAGAGGGAATTCCTGGATGGAGCTGAAGGGGTTAAACAACCACGTTCCTGTAAAGGAGAGATTGGGGGAAGAGGAGAAGGGAAACACAGGACTACAGCAGCCTTCAGTCTCTTCTCAGGTGAAGTTTGGAGCAGCTTGGGCTGGTTAAAAAGTATTCCTGAGCCAGATGACTCCTCTTTGTCCCAACAATCCCACTGTGCCCATGCTGGGGCTGCAGAGCTCTTGCTGAGTGCTGTGAGCTCTGCACATCTCACAGGGCTCTGAGAGGGGCACAACCAGCCCAGGGCTGGCTTTGGGGATCCTGGGGAGCAGCTGTGGTTCAGCACTTGGATATTAAGCTGCTGGTTGGTGTAGGGAATGTGGAGCAAAGCTGGAGTCTTCACTCTCCACAGGATGCCCAGTTTGTGCCTGTAACTGGCTGAAAGGGAAGACATTTGGAATTTGAGAAGGGCACTGAGAACAGGCACCACTTTCAGAGCAGGACTGGTGTCTGGGATGTGCCATGAGAACAGGGAATCCTTCTGGGATGACACAGGAGCATTTTTTCCTCTGGAGATGCTGCTGGTGACTGTTGGCAGCAGCTGTGTGAGGAAAGGGGATCCTTGGAATGGCTTTTTAGCCCAGCAGCCTTTCAGGGCAAGGCCATCCCTGCTCCTGGGAGCTCCATGGTGCTGGTGCTGCTCCCTGAGCACAGAGCCCACCCTCTCCACCTTTTGGGAAGGAAATCCATTACTGCTGCTGCCAGCACTGGAATTGCACCTAAATTCAGCCCTCCTGGGTTGATGTCAGATGTTTATTTGGACATCCTGTTTTCTCTGGACAGTGCAAATAGAGAATAAAAGGAGCTGAGTTAAAAGCAGGTTTAGGTTCCTGGTTACTGGGTGAAAGAGGCAAAGTTATTTTCATGGAAAAGTTCTGGCCACCTCCTGGTGAGAGACAGGAAAAACGCTTCCCCAGTCTGGTCTTTGAAGGGAGTTATGTCTCTGACAGGCTGCAAACCCACTGGTGCCCTCTGCTCCTGTCACAGGGAAGTCTCTGCTGTGCCCTCCAAGCAACTGTGGTTCTCCATGGGACTGGAAAACTGCCCCTTCCCACCCCTGGGAGAGCTGAGAGCAACGTTAGTGTTTGGCAGAGAAAACTGACAATCCCTTCCCAGCCCTGGGAGAGCTCAGAGGAAATCCTGGTGTTTGTCAGGGAAAACTGGAGCTGCTAAATGCTGGAGATGTGGGTGATGGTGTGGATGGTTTGCACTGTGGAGCTTGGCCCCTGAAGGAGCTCAGAGCCAACGATTCCAGCACTGTTCCCATGGGTTTGTCTGGAAGGAGCTGGAGTTGGTGCCGTTACAGGATGGCTGAGCACAGGGAATAGTCAGGAGTGGCTTTCTGTGGTGACAATAATTATTTCATATACCTCTTGCTGTGTATTTCTTTGAACCACAACCTGCTTGGCCTGACCTTTCACCACCTTTCCATGTATCCAAGTGACCAGACTCGAATTCTCTGACTGATCAGAGGAGGATGACTTGGAGATCAGGCTGTGGCTCTTACAGTGTAAATTTGGTTCTTGTTTGCTTCTCTGCCTCGTTCTACATGTAGCACCTGTGCCCTTGGAATTGTTTCCCCCTGGATGAGAACCTCTGCCTTCAAGGGCTCCTCTCCTGCCCCTGCTCACACCAGAGAGGACACAGCTTTGTCTGCTCTGACATCACCCCCAAACATGCTACATGTGTGTTGACACAGGAATTGCATGTCCTCAGTCTCCTAACCATGAGAGCCCTCACCTCCCTGTTACCAGGACACCTTTAAATTCAGGCAACACAGAGGCTGAATTTAAATTTTCAGCTTGGGAGCCTGGCAGGGCAAAGCCATCCCTGCTCCTGGGGGCTCCACGGGGCTGCTGCTGCTGCCTCAGCACAGAGCCCACCCTCAGCACCCTCTTGGGAAGGAAATCCATTACTGCTGCTGCCAGCACTGGAATTGCACCTCCTAAGGGCAGCCCTCCTGGGTTGATGCCAGCTGTTCATTTGGACATCCTCTTTTCTCTGGGCAGTGCAAAAAGAGATTAAAAGGAGCTGAGTTAACAGCTTTATGTGCCTAAAGAACTAAAAAAAAAAAAATCTCCTTTTTTCCAGTGTGACAGGGAAGTGCCACTGAGCTCAGTGACAGGAGTCTCCCAGGTGGCTGGCAGGTGCTCCAGCTGCCTCCCACAGCCTGTCTGGAGCATTGGGAGCCCGGGATGCCCAGGGAGGGTGTGGAGGGAAGTGGCTGTGTCCTCCCTGCTCCTGGGCTCACTGCCCAAGGCACAGCTGGGGAAGGGACGTGTCCCGTCCGTGTGTCCCTGCCTGCTGGGGCTGTGCTTTCCTGAGTTCAGTGTGACAATCCAGAGGAGCCACCTCTCTGTGTCCCAACCTCCCCCTTCCCACCAGATCCCACTGGCTGTGTGTTGCCAGCCCTGTGCTTTGGCAGAGCCTGAGCAAAGCCTGACCTCCCTGTGGGTGGGATCTGCTCTGGGGCAGCCCCAGCCCCTCTGCTGCCCGAATTTAAGGTTGTCCTGTAACACAGGGAGCTGAGGGCTCTGATGGTTGTAAGATGTGAGGACAGTAAATTCCTGTTGACACACATGTATCATCTTGGGCTGTAATGTCCTGTGCCTGTTGTGTCCCTGAAGTTTGGTCTCCACCCACTGTGCCTCTGGATTATCATCCTGGAGGGAGCACAGAGTATCCAGCTGTGTCCATCGGCCAGCTTTTGTTGTTTTTCTTTCAGTGCCTTTTGAGTTTGTCTGGAGTCAGTCCCACCAAACCCAGCAGGATTTCTAGTTTTGTTTACAGTGGACTGTCATTTTTGGTTTTGCTCTTGCTCTTTGTGGAGGTAACTCGTCTGATGTTACTGTGAATATCAAGAATTCCCTGTATATAATTAACCAATAAACTAGATTGCATTTTACTGTGGTGGGGGTGTGTTTTGTAGACAATCCTCAGTGCCCCCCTCAGAGGGAGCAGCAGGGCCCAGTGTCCCTGTTCAGGGGGTGGGAATGAGGAGCAGAGTCCTCTGGGCCTGAGCAATTCACCTTGGAGCTGCTGGAATGGGAATGTGGGAAGTCACTGATGCTGAGTTTCTGTTTGTTCCAGCCCAGTCACACTTTGCAGGAGAGAGGAGTTGGTGTCTCACAGAGCTGCCTTCCCTAGACAGGGAAGAATCCAGGACAGGAATTCAGGGAGCTGTAACAACCTCCTGAGGTGTTGCCCTCTCAGAGCTGGGCCCTGCTGGGAATGCCAGGACAGCAGAGAATCCCCGATCATTCCATGTGGTGTCAGACAGGAAAGGCAGCTCTGCTCCAGGCCAGGCTGTGGCTCTTCCCAGCTGGAAAACAAACATTTAAGTTCTGCACATTCAGGGCATCTACAACACGTGAAGCCTCAGTGTAACTAAAATCCAGTCTGGAGCATTGCTTGGGACACTGAAAAACCAGAACTGGAGCTGTCCTGGAAGATGGTAGAAAACAGCTCCTAAATTCCCTGTGGGTGTCCTGGTGCAGGTCCCAGGGTTGCAGGGAGCAGGGTTTCCTAAACACCACCATCTGCTCAGATTTTATAAGTTGGTTCCTTCAAGTCCTCTCACTCTGTGCCAGAGTCTGTCCCCTCCTCTGTGGGGCTCTGCCCCCAGTCTCACCTTCCAGAGCCCAGGCACTGATGGGGGTAAATCCAGGGATGTGCCGAAAAAATCACTCTGCCTTTGGGCTTTTCATCCATAAGGAAATACTTGGTGATCTTTGATGCAAGCAGTGACAGTCCCTGGGGCTCCATTCCCAGGGTGACAAACCAGGGCAGCTGAGGTGACAGAGGTGGAAGGAGGAACTGTAAAGGAAAAACTGCTTAGTCAGGAAACGTGGGATGTCATTCCATCATATCCATGTGCCCAGTGCAATATCCAGGTGTGCAGCCATTCCCTGCTCAGGGCCCAGCTGTGACACGGATTGGGAAGCAGCTCTGGGACACGTTTAACAGACACAGGGGATTCTTTCCTGCCTCCTCAGGAGAGGGCAGGGCAGCACCTGGAAGCAGAGCCTGAGCACCCAGAGCTGTGGAACCGCTGCCTTCAACCCAAACCACCCATCAGACACCTCCCAGGACCTTCCCCTCGGTGGGCAGGGCTGGAGGTTCCCATGGAACATCCCAGGGGCTGGTTTACGATCAGCAAATCACCCGATCCCCGAGGATCCTCCCACAGGGTTTTACCTCCAGGTGTTCCCATTTCCAGCAGTGCTTAACAATTAACACGATTTAACAATCGTGTGCTTGTTATGATGGTTTTTGTTTTTTTTTTTTTTTAAAAAAAAAGGACGTGTTTATTTAAAACAAAACACTGGGCCAAGAGGGGCGTTCATGGGTGTGTTAACCGAACTTAAAAAACTAAGGCAACCGAAAAGGGAGAGCGCCGAGGGGGGAGGCCGAGGCCCCTCGGGCGGCGCTGCGGCCCCGGCGCCGCGCTCAGAACTCGAAGGTGCCGAAGTGCGCGGTCCGCCCGCCGGCCTTGGGCTGCGGTTTGTAGCCGATGCCGCGTCGTTGATTGAGCTGCTCGCGGCTTTGTGCTCCGTGCCGCAGCGCGAGCGCCTGCGCCTCCTCCCCGCCCGCCCGCCGCTCCGCCTCGTCCGCGCTGCTTCCTGCGGGCCCTGCGGCCGACGGGCCGGTTCAGGGCCGGGGGCGCTGCCGGGGCGCCGCGCCCGGCCCCGCGCGCACCTCCAGCTCCTTCCGCACGCTCTCGACTCCTCGATGTCGTCCAAGCTTCAGCTCCCAGCCGCGTCGGCTTCCGAAGGAGCACGCGGCACCCGGCACCGGGATCGGGATCGGGATCGGATCGGATCGGGCCCGGGAACCGAGCCCAGTGCGAGGCGAGCTCTCCCGCGCCGCTCAGCGCTTCCGCCACTCCTCCCGGTGTGCCCCCGCGTGGTCCGCGCCCTTAGCGGGCATGCACCTCCCGGCGTGCCTCGCACGAACCCGCCCCCTCCCTGCACACCTCCGGCCGTGCCTTGCGCGCTCCGCCTTTAGCGGGCAAGTGAACCTCCCGGCGTGCTCCGCGCGCCCCGTGCTCAGCCGCTCCCCGCCACATCCTCCCGGCGTGCCCCTCGCGCCTGCTGCTGCTGCGCCCTGCCCGCCACCTCCCGGCGTGCCTCGCGCGTCTCACCCTTAGCGGACAACGCGCCTCCCGGCGTGCCCCGCGCTCAGCGCTCCCCGCCACACCTCCCGGCGTGCATCGCGCGACCCGGAAGTGCCCGTGAGGCGCTGGATGCCGAGCGCGTCCAGTCCCATTCCCGTCCCATTTTCCGTTCTTTTCCCGTTTCCTCGTGCTGTTCCCGGTCCCCGTTCGCCATGGCCGCCGCGCGGGCTCCGGCGGCGCGAGCCGGGGCCCGGCCCCCCGAGGTGGGGTGTGTCCGGGCGCGGGGCGGCCCCGGGCCCGTTCCCCGCAATGTGGCGGCGACACCGCTGGAGGGGCCGCGCAGGGGGTCGCGGCGGCTGCTGCCTGTGGGGTTTTGCGGAGCCCGCCGGAGCCGTTCAAAAGGCCGGGGCCGGAGCGCTCGCGTGTTTTCCTGCATGTTTTTTCGAATCCTTTAATTTTTCCCATGGAGTTGTGCCGCCTCTCGGCGGGGGAAGGAGCTGGGCACTGCTTACCTTCACCCGCCTTCCAGGAGCTCGGAGACGGCTGTGCTGGGGCTCAGTGGGAGGAGGAGAAGCCTCGTGTTCTAAAGTTTCGTCAAAAAACAAATCCCACAAGGCCTTAAACCCGAGCTCCGTGCAGATAATAAACAAGGACACAGCACAGCCTGATGGATGCAGTTTAACGTGCCATTATACTTTTGCCCTTGGGACATAAATAACCTCACTGTCCAGGGGCTGCTCCATCCCTGGAAATGTCCAAGGCCAGATTGGAGCCACCTGGTCGAGTGGAAGGTGTCCCTGCTCTTGACAGGGGTGGAATGAGATGAACTCTTTAAGTTCCCTCTCAACCCAACCAGTGTGTGATTCCATGAAACCCCATTCCAGGGCCTCTCCATGTTTCACACCCCATTTTCCCTGGCACAGCCAGGCTGTTTGTTGTCTCTTTGTACCCAAACTGTTCGTGTCCCTGCAGCCCCCCAAGGCCAAGCCCACCGAGGAGGGCGATGCCCCCCCGGCCAAGAGAGCCCCGATCTTCTATGGGAGCCTGGAGGAGAAGGAGAGGGAGAGACTGGCCAAGGGGGAGCCAGGGCTGCTGGGCAAGGAGGGCATGAAGGCTGCTCTGGAGGCTGGGAACATCAACATCAGCAGTGGTGAGGATGGAAACACCCTTTGTTTTATTCCCTTCGTGAAATGTGACACTTCCAAGTGCCTGTTGTTATCCCTCCTGTCAGATGTGACACTTCCCAATGTCTCTGGGCACCATCTCAGAGCAGGAACAGGATGGGCCCCTTGGATCTTCCCATGTGGGAGGGATCCAGTGGCAGAGCCCTGGAACAGCTGCCCGGGGAGGTGTGGAGTGTCCCTCTCTCGGGACATCCCAAACCCACCTGGATGTCACCTGCTGTGGGTGACCCTGCCTGGGCAGAGGGGTTGGGGTGAGTGGGCTCCAGAGGGCCCTTCCAGCCTGAGCTATCTGTGATCCAGTGATTCTGTGATCCTGTATTTCCCTGTTTCTCCCTGTGCTCCCTGGCGGCTTCCCTGTGATCCTGAGATCCTTGATGTCTCCCCTGTGCTCCCTGTGTTCCCTGGTGGCTCCCCTGTGCTCCCTGGTGGCTCTCTGTGTTCCCTGGTGTCTCCCTGTGTTCCCTGCTGGCTCACTCGTGGCTCCTCTGTGCTCCCTGATGGTTCCCTGTGCTCTCTGGTGTCTCCCTGTGCTCCCTGATGTCCCACCTGTGCTCCCTGGTGGCTGCCCTGTGATTGTTATCCTGTGCTCCCTGGTGTCTCCCTCGATCCCTGGTGTCTCCCTGGTGTCCCCCCTGTGCCCAGCTGCGTTTTCTCTGTGCCAGGGGAGGTGTTTGACCTGGAGGACCACCTGAGCGAGCGCCAGGCCGAGGTGCTGGCGGAGTTCGAGCGGCGGAAGCGCGCGCGGCAGATCAACGTGTCCACGGACGACGCCGAGGTCAAGGCCTGCCTGAGGGCCCTGGGGGAGCCCATCACCCTCTTTGGAGAGGGGCCTGCAGAGCGCAGGGAGAGGTGCTGTGTCTGCTGGGGGGCACCCCGTGGCTACTGAGTTCCTGCTGTTTTCCTGGGAGAGCTGGGGGTGTTCAGCCTGGGGAGGAGAAGGATCCAGGGAGACCCCTTCCAGTGCCCAAAGGGGCTCCAGGAGAGCTGGAGAGGGACTTGGGACAGGACAAGGGAAAATGACTTCCCACTGCCAGAGGGCAGGGCTAGATGGGATATTGGGAAGAAATTGTTCCCTGTGAGGGTGGGGAGGCTCTGGCACAGGTTGCCCAGAGAAGCTGTGGCTTGCCCCATCCCTGGAAGTGTCCAAGGCCAGGTTGGATGGGGCTTGGAGCAACCTGGGCTAGTGGAAGGTGTCCCTGCCCATGGCAGGGGGTGAATGGGATGAGCTTTAAGGTCTCTCCCAACCCAAACCAGCCTGTTAATCTATTCTAAGAACCCCAAGGCAGAAGGAAGGTCTCACTGATGATTTGTCAGGTGAGCTGAGGAATCACTGACTAAATCCAACTTCACGTGTTTCTTCCCAGGTTGAGAAACATCCTCTCAGTGGTCGGCACAGACGCGTTAAAGAAGACCAGGAAGGATGATGACAGGTCAAAAAAGTCCAAAGAAGAGGTAAGGGGGTCTCCTGTCCTCTCAGAGTTGAGGGAGAGATCTGGTCTCTGGTAGATCCAGGCCTCCTGGTTTTGGTCAGTGTGAGGATTCTCATGTCATCCCTTCAGGCTTTTCCTGTGTTCTCCCTTTTAACAGACCTATGGCAATGTTTGGTCTCAGTGAGGAGCACCAAGTGTGGTTTGCACCCCCAGGCCAAGTTCTGAACTGCACTCAGTGTGCAAACCAGGAGAGCAGGTGTTTGGGCTCTCACTCACCATAGCAGGTTCTTTATTCTTGGTTGTCTTCACACTTGGGAAGAAAAAAATATGTTCCTACTGCTGCATCTCTTTCTCCCTCTGATATTCTTTCTGCCTCTGTCTCTTCTGAGTCCATTTTTCTGTATTATTTTTGAGCTGTGCTTTAAGAAATAATTCCTACAGCTCTGGGCTCTCTCTTTACTGGGTGATGTGTAAAACAGGAGTTATGTGTCAGTAAGTCCAACCCAATCAGTGTTCAGTTGGAATGTTCCTGGCAGTGTGTCAGGATCGGATCCATAGGGCAGAGACTGTGGTTTATCTCTCTTAATCCCTTTTCCTGGGGCTTATACTGATGCATAATGGCCTTAAAAAGGGGCCAGAGCCCAGCAGGGTTTGGGAGCAGGTGCTGTGAGGAGGCAGCTGAGGGGAGTGAGCGGAGGAGCTTTTCCATCACTTTTATTCCTGTTTTTACAGTATCAGCAAACCTGGTACCACGAGGGCCCACGGAGTCTGAAAACAGCCAGGCTGTGGCTGGCAAACTACTCCCTGCCCAGGTGAGAGGGAACTGCACAAATGAGGAGGGACATGCAGCCATTTGTCAACTCCAAGGGCTGATCCCACTGTGGGCACCACTGGAAAGCCAAGGAGTGGGGAGCACACACTGGGAAGCAACTCCAGAGAGCCCAGAGCTTGAACTCTTGGGGACTGATCCTGCATTAGCCCAGTTTGGGGGAGGAGGAGGAGGGCAGGGCCTGTTTGCAGAGCAGGGAAGGGGGAATGCAGGGAAGGGGGGATGCAGGGAAGGGGCTCATCCCTCCCCTGTGCTGTTCCCAGGGCAGCCAAGCGGCTGGAGGAGGCCCGGCTGCTCAAGGAGATTCCCGAGGCCACCAGGACATCCCAGAGGCAGGAGCTGCACAAATCCCTGCGGGTATGTTGGGCACTGCCCTCCTGCTGTGATCCTGCAGAGAGCTCAGCAGGAATTGAGCTGCCCCAGGTGCACCCTGGTCTCTGAACTGTTGGGAGGCTCTGCTTTTCCTCTCTCCCTGTCTGTGTAAAGCACGTTCTGACTCCTGCACGGTGATCCAGGGAGATGGATTTTGTCCCTGTGCATGGCAGAGGGATCAGAGACATCCCTGCCTTGCCTTACCACTTGGCTGTGAAGCTAAAGGAATGTATTCCTGGCTTTGGCTGGGTTTGGCTGGCTGGGAAGGGACATAAAACCCTGGAGATCACACCCAGCTCCGTGGGACAGAGCATGGCTGGGATGGCTCCCAGGTGCCCTTTCCGAGCACACTAAGCCAGATTCCCAGCTTAACCAAGCAGAGGCTCAGGCACAGCATGTGCTGCCCCCCTAATCCTGTTTACTCCAGAGCCATCAGCTGCCAGAGGATTTGCTTCTCCCCTCCGTGCCCTACACTGCCTGTCCATCTGTCTGGTTGGGTTCCTTGGATGAGTTGTGGAAAGAGGGCAAACTCCAGGCAGTTCTGTGTCAGGGCTGCAGAGCTGGGGGCTGTGGGGACAGGTACCATGGGTGGCCCTGGGGGGCTGAGCTGAGCCCCCAGGCCGTGCTGGCTCCCCTGGGCCAGGCTGGCCCTGGCCCTCCCACGGGGAGCTGCAGCGGCTCTGAGGCAGCTCCTCCCTTGGAATGTGACTTTCCAGGGGCCTCTGCCTCCTCCTGCACACAGGCTTTGGCTTTGGCTGGGCCTTGCTCTGGGCTGGCTGTACTCCAGTCATTGATTGTTTTCTTTGTGTTTTTACAGTCCCTCAATAACTTCTGCAGCCAGATCGGGGACGATCGCCCGCTGTCCTACTGCCACTTCAGCCCCAACTCCAAGCTCCTGGCCACAGCCTGCTGGTGAGATCTCTGTGGCTGCACTGCTTTAGGGGCTGGATGAGCACAACAGGGAAGGACAGGGGTGTTCTTGGAGGTTTGGGAATCGTGAGAGTCCAGAAATGTTTTTATTTCCTATTCTGAGTTCTTGTCACTTCGTTTTAGAGCTGAGCAGAGATTTCAGTCTGAGCCTGTTGGTTTCTGTGCTGGTTGCCCAAAGTGTGTTGCTATTTCAGTCACTGCAGAACCCCCAGAGTGGCTTTGCAGCTCTGTTTGATCTGTTCCTTGACATTCCTGTCTCCACTGACATCCATTCCTTGCGTTCCACAGGAGTGGGCTGTGCAAGCTCTGGTCTGTGCCCGACTGCAACCTGGTTCACACCTTGCGAGGTACGAGCAGCCCTCACTGAGGCTCTTGGCTTGGTGCTTTTGTTCCTCTCTGGGCTGAGCTCCCACATCTGAATTACTTTGTGACTCAAAATATCCGATTTTGGCAGATTTCTTTCCTACTG